TCGGAAAAGATGAGGAGAATGAAAGGTTAATAGAATCAGTGTTAAGATAAATAGGCAGTCTTCGTTTGAAAGCAGACAGTCTAGTTAACCACCTAATTTCGATTGGAAAGTTATTCCAAAGAAAGCTATATCTGTGTCATACATTAGGAACCGCAACCCACATTCCTAACATCTCCAATCGGCTAACTTCAACAATGAGAGGGAAATCATAGTCAGAAATCTGCTTAAGCGAAAGGTATACCACTAGCTGCGTCATAAATCGGACGCATTTAGTGAAAATAATGATGCAGAACACTTCCATACCGGTTTGTTTATAAGTGAAACGAAAGGTAAGTGAGCGTTGCAGTCGCTATTGTCAAGCCTTTTTCTGTGGGGAATTATCCAGACGGGTTTCACGATATTTACGTTCTTTTAAAGATAAGGACGGTTTTAGGGCACAGAAAATCAGGCTTATTACTGCCCTAGTGCTGCAGCTCCCTAAAATCTATATTTGACTTGCAATCTGTGGAATTAAACGCATTCTTAAAATATTTTTACTCTAAAATCCTTTGCCGTCGAACATTGACTTTAGCAACTCAACAAGACACATAGTAACCTCTGATGGATACTGTTCAAGACTCAAATGGATTTGAATCTGCATAAGATTTAGTAAATTACTCATAAATTCATGCGCGACATCAAATAAATAAGGCCATTTCCAGCTTGATCATCGTTAGACAGGATGGTGAGCACCCAATGAGAAGCAGCCAATTTTTCAATTTTTACGTGCAGTTGGGGCCTATTTCTGCTAGTTACTCATCAGACAAAATGGTTTGTCAAACTTATCTTGTGTTTATCTTTAGGCTACGGACATCGAAATGAAGGATGATTCAAAAGACGAAGGACTAAAGATAAAAAAAGTGGAACCCCCCAAAATTGCAAAGGTCACTGTCCATCCACTTGTACTTTTGGGTGTTGTTGACCACTACAATCGGATGGGAAAGGTCAGTGGCGGCCAGAAACGGGTTGTTGGTGTGCTTCTTGGTGCTCTTAAAGGAACAAATCTGGATGTGAGCAACTGCTTCGCCGGTAGGTTCGTCATTTGAAACGAGTTTGTAGTCCCCTTCGAGGAAGATCCCACAGATTCAAGCGTGTGGTTTCTTGACCATGACTACCTGGAAAATATGTTCGCAATGTTTAAAAAGGTCAATGGTACGTATCGGTTACAGGTTGAACGAAATTTCAGCTCGTGAGCGTATCGTCGGATGGTATCACTCCGGGCCGAAGCTATGTGCAAACGATATTAAGATCAATGAACTGTTCCGCAAATATACCCCAAATTCAGTCTTAGTTGTCGTCGATGTGAGAACAAAGGAAAGTGATGGACTCCCAACTGAGGCCTATATTGCTGTTGAGGAAGTTCATAATGTAAGCTCAAAATGGAAGACGGATCTCCGGACTGTCATTTGAATTTTTCCTCGGTGTTCCGCCTTCCAGCGGAATCTTTTTATGCCCTTCGAAATTTTCTATTAATCGCAGTTGGTGCTTTTGTGTTAAAAATTAGTAAAGAAATGGCTATGATATCCTCGCCTTGTGTGGAATTAGGTCTAATTGCTGTACTTTCATCTTATCCGGTTTACAGAAGTCAGCATAATTTATTCATTAGACCCACTGAAGTTAATCTTCGACACTTCGTTGTGAATATCTATGCAACACCATCTTAACCCGTTCGCTGACCTTAATATCTGAATTCGAAAAACCTCTAGTCTGTCAAATACAGCGTCGTACCGAAGTTGACGTTTAACATGAATGTTTGTCCCGCCACACTTATACGCCCGCACACCGCATTTAGTACATTCGGTATATCGTGGTTACTTAGGATATTCAATTTCTGATTCGGATCGTCAGTGGCCATATTAATAAATATCTTATACGCGTTTTTGTCTTTAGTTTAATTTCCTTTGCCTTAGCTTGCCAGGCTTAATAATCGCCAATTAATTTGGTTTTTATCGGCAGATTTTCGTGCAAACATCAACCCCTTAACGCCTAGAAATTATTTTCAAGGTGATAGACTTGATCTAAAATTCCTACTGTTTTGTCGAGGGGTAGCCGATCTCCGTGCTACCCATAGTATATTTGCCTTTTCTCCCAACTAGTATTATATTCAGCTAACTGTATATTAGTTCAGTATATTTAGGGTAGTAGGCAATGCCTTTGAAGGGCCCTATTGAAAACAGTATGCATGAAATATCCAACATAAAATATGTCACTATAAACATGAAATATCCAACATAAAATATGTCACTATAAACAGTGAGTAACATATATATATGTGAAATATCCAACATAAAATATGTCACTATAAACAGTGAGTAACATATATACTTGTACAAATTTGGCCGCAGGTGTGTTAATGTGTCGTGAGATGGGCTCTTGTGTGCATAATATTCCAACACAAAATATGTTACTATAAAATAGTGAGTAGCA